GCCTGTGGTAGCCCGTGGTAGCCAGGGCAGAGTCTTTTCGACAACGCCGCCAGAAATTCGAAATTTGGTAAAAAAATAATATAGTAATTTTTGTGGATGTCTAGCAGTTCGGTCACCTAGAATGACGTTCGCCGTAGTAATAGTATTTGGGGTCTAGCGGGTCAGTCACGTTCCTCGACTATGGTCGTAGTCACCCTTTAAGACAATATTCGACGGTTGGGGCACGTCATCACGTATGCAATCCGACTGCGTCGAATCGCGGACGACGTTCATTACTGTTACCGAAAAAGCAAAAAAAGTAATAAATTACTTGAAAAGTATTTAAAAAATTTCGGACGTCGCCAGTCGCCAGTCGCCAGTCTCGAGCTGGACGGTTAATGGGTGGTATGAAGGTCTAGTGATAAGGATTTGTGGTATAAATTAGTGATGAGGAAACTGGATTTGTGATAAGGATAGTGGATTATTGATAAGGATTGTAGATAAGTGATAAGCATGGTGGATTTGTGATAACAATTTATGATAAGGATATTGGATTTGTGATAAGAAAAGTGGATGTGTGATAAGGATGGAGGATTCGTGATAAGGATAGTGGATTAGTTAACCGGATACCTGTCAAAGTCTTTTCTTGGGGGTCCAGCATGTCAGTCACCTTCCTCGATGTTGGACGTAGTCACCCGGGTAGACAACGTGACAACCGATTCGATGCATCGGTTATATAATTTATGTGAAAACATGTTTTGGGGTCTAGCAGGTCAGTCACCTTCCTCTACGTTGGTCGTAGTCACCTTGGTAAATATGCGATTGCTGATGAACGTCATCAAGTATCACAGCGTCCATTACTGTTAACGAAAATGCAAAATTAAAGAATAAATTACGTGAAAAAAAATTGTTATCCGGGTAGGCACCCCGACTCGATGTGAGACGTAGTCACGGTAGACAACGTGACGACGTGTGACGGCCGGTTCGAGGATTGGGTGTATAATTTACGTGAAAATATGTTTTGGAGTCTAGCAGGTCAGTCACCTTCCTCTACGTATGTCGTAGTCACCCTGGTAGGCAATCCGAATCGATGTGAGACGTAGTCAACTGGTAGACAACGTGACGACGTGTGACGGCCGGTTCGAGGATTGGGTGTATAATTTACGTGAAAATATGTTTTGGAGTCTAGCAGGTCAGTCACCTTCCTCTACGTAGGTTGTAGTCAGCCTGGTAGGCAATCCGAATCGATGTGAGACGTAGTCACCTGGTAGACAACGTGACGACGTGTGACGGCCGGTTCGAGGATTGGGTGTATAATTTACGTGAAAATATGTTTTGGAGTCTAGCAGGTCAGTCACCTTCCTCTACGTAGGTCGTAGTCACCCTGGTAGGCAATCCTACTTCGTCGGATAGCGGATAATGTGCGACGGCTGATGAACGTCATCACGTTCATTACTGTTACCGAAAACGCAAAAATAAAGAAGAAATATTTCGGGCGTCCATGCATATCATATAGCCACCGCCTTTTTTTGGGTGTCTAGCAGGTCAGTCATCTATGTTATCCGGTAGTCAATCCGACCCCGTCGGATAGCGGACAATGTGCGAAGGCGGGGGCACGTTCATTACTGTTACCGAAAACGCAAAAATAAAGAAGAAAAAAAAAAAATAAAATAATAAAATAATAAAATAATAAAATAATAAAATTAAATAATAATAATAATAAATAAAATAATAAAATAAAATCATTTGAGGGGGGCTGTATTGAAGCCTGTATGTTATAGTAAAAGCGACACGACGCACGACGGCGGCGTTCTCCGCGGTGTCGATCGACTTGATGTTGGTCGTAGTCACCCGGGTAGACAACTTGACGATGTGTGACGGCCGGTTCGAGGGAATCGTGCCGCCGTGATCTGTTGAGTGTCTAGCAAGTCAGTCACCACCTTGATTGATGATAACATCGTTAAATGCGTAAGCAATCCGACTAAACGTCAGATAAAAGATCCACCACTCCGAAGCCGGGTCGAAAATGAAAATAGTATTTTTACCGTGCCCAAAAATTACTGATAAGGCCCGTAATCACTTACGAATAAATGAAGGTGTCCTGAAATAATAGCATACTGTATTTCCATCAAGAATTTCAGCGTTGCATTGCCGAAGGCGCAACGATATGGAAACGGAACTCGGTCAGCTGGTTGTGGTTTTGTTTCCACGCACCAACATGGTGTTAGAACCAATGTCTCCCGTATTATGTAAACGTTTGTTAAAAGTCGCGCCAACAGTAACACTGTATACGGTATACGGCAGTTGGAAATCTAAGGCGACACATAATTTATTATAATATATTGATAAGTAGGTATTGGTACGTGTTGGGTGAATTACTTGTGTACGGAAACATCGATAATGTTTTCTCCACAATTCCACATAGCACACATCGTTTGACCATTTTGAATAGCCTAAAAGCATCACGAACAGGTTATAGTAATAATAAGTAAAAAGTGAATACTAAATATGAAAAACTCGTCATAAAAAAAAAACGTTGCAATCGAATACAACGACTGTTGTCTGTTGTAGGTATCAGTTATTGTTATCAGCGGTGAGGTATGAGACTTGCGTGTTATTTTTAGAATTAATAGGTACACACCGGCTTACGTGATGTACATAAAAAATAGAAAAATACGAAAAATGACATACCCAGCTCGTAATTGCACAATTAACTGTTAAGTGTTAACGCAAAATGTAAAGCGATAAAACACGTAGGTACCGCAATGGTAACGCGAAGAAACAGCCAACGGACTTAAACATCGACTACAGCGACTGGATAATACACAACTAATACGAATGCGGATATAAAAAAGTTATAGGTATTCAAAGTACATTTGCGGTGTACGAAAAAAACACGAAACGCTCCATGATGTCTGTAGCTGGTGCAAACATATAGAATCAGTAGTTTATCTGAATATTATATGGTAGTAGATATTATTATAGAAGTTGTACTCACCGGGTATGTGAAAAGCGCCCAAAAGACAACAAAACTCAAAGAAAAACACTGAATGTTAAATAACACGAAACGTATTTGGCTTTTCCGTGAGAGTCGATGTGCGTTGTACGAGCGCCGATCACAAGAGTCAGGTCGAAACGGGCGCGCTTCGCGTCGACAAAGTTCCCCCCCCGCACTCACTCCATCCCACTCCGCGCGCCCACTCTCATAATGTCGCGTAATGGGCATATTATGTAGACAGTATCGTATAGTTTAGTCATATCATTATACAATTTACCTGCCAGAATTTAATTAAATACATTAAGTTATATTTTGTTTATTGATATACCTACATAATTTGACTCACCTAAAAACTGTAATACATTAAGTACCTACTACATAGTATATTATATACCATTGGAGTACCTGTGCCCAACTACTTTATTTACTAATTTTATTTCACTATCAATTCATCTACTTACTATATAGGTACCAATAATATGTTAACTGAAATAATTTTTATAATATTAAGTGTAGGTACTTTATTTATATTTTTGGCCCAATGAACGAAAATGTATACTAATATCACTATTAATTCATGTACATACATATAATATGCTTAAATTATATAACTATACTATTATGTATATACATATATACATAGGTACATCTATAAAATACATTAGTCATATTATGTAGGTACATAATATATATATAATTCAATTTATTATTCATAAATTATTACATTTGATATTAAATAAATAAATAAATATACGTGATAGACCATAGACCTATATTATATTGAGTAATATCAAATTATGTCATATCATTATAAGTAGTATAAAATAGACAATTCAAACACACAATGGAGCTGATCCGCTGATACCTGCTGAACCGCTGATCCCTGACGATCAGCTGTTCCTTGCTGATTCGCTGATCCCGCCGCCCGGTCGCGCACGTGCGCGAGATGTATATTATCACTTATCATTATTACCGTTATCACTTATCATTATTACCGTTATCAGTTATCACTTATCATATATATTATATCCGCGCTAGACGTGTTCAATTATATGACGGGAAAAAAAACTACTAAATAATTGATCGGGGTTCGAACCCTCGACCCCCATCTTATATCGACGACGCTTTAACCCACTAGGCCACATGACCACTTATAGTCTTATCGTTATTTTCACTCATTTAACTAGATAAATATAAAATATTATGTATAGTATACAAATTTATAACATAGTGTAATCATAATAATATCTTTCGGCACATAGTTAACATCAACCACCATAATTTACCGTTATAAGTATATACCTTTGTTGGTAATTTCTAAGAATTTTTAGTCCTTTGGCGGCATATACCCTTTTTGTCATTGGATTTGACCGATTTCTATATAGGCGGGTTTTTTTAAAGGATTATCGTTATATGGGTCATCCTTTGGCGGTATACACCGTCCTTTGGCGGCATATACCTTTCCTTTTATATAAGAAAGTAACTCTCTTTGCTTTTACCGTTATAAGTATATACCTTTGGCGGCATATGCCCTTTTTGTCATTGGATTTGACCGATTTCTATATAGGCGGGTTTTTTTTTTTAAAGGATTATCGTTATATGGGTCATCCTTTGGCGGTATACACCGTCCTTTGGCGGCATATACCTTTCCTTTTATATAAGAAAGTAACTCTCTTTGCTTTTACCGTTATATGTGTGTGCCGCTATTCTTTTTGTCATTGGTAATTTATTGAATGTGACCGATTTATATGGTGGATGCGGCTATTTCAAAGGATTATAGTCACCATATATGGTCAAAATCTCTGTTCATCCCCACCATTACCACCACCCCTAAAAATCCCTTAGTGTCCATGGTAAGAAGAGACTCTTGATTTTCCGTTTAGTCCGTGTACTACCTTTAACCGTTGTTCACTTATATATTTACTCTCTCAGTCTTTAAAATATTTTTACAAGTGTTTATTTCTCTGCGTTTTAAAAATTATTTACACTTTGTGGTTTTATTTCGATATTACTTTACGTAAAAATGTATAAGTGTGATCAGTGCCCGTCAGTTTTCTCCGCAAAACGTAATTTGGTCGCCCACCATAAGAAGCATGCAGGTGTACGTTTTCCGTGCACTGCATGCCCATCGACATTCTCGTACAAAAACAACCTCAACAAGCATCTGAAGAACATTCATGGTATGTACTAAAAATATAAAGTTTTATTTTATACAATATTAATTTTTTATTTTCCCTAAGGTATCGTTTCAGCTCGCCTCAGACCATTGCCAGCTGCTCCGATCATAGATCAGCCAGCACGACCGAGCGTCATCCAGTTCGCGCCTCGTATTGTTGCCCCCGATAGCGAGACCGGTGACTCATGCGTCATAATAGAAGATGATGATACAGGTTAGTTTTATTTATCAGAATTAATTAGATTTTTAAAAAGGCCCTCCGTTATTTACATAAAGACGTTATATTTTTTTTTTTTTTTTTTTTAATTTTAATTTTAATTTTAATATTTAATTCAATATTTATTTTATAAGGTATTATACCCGCTGGTCCCTCATACGAGCTTCAACATCAGTCGAATATACCAAACGATGGGTATGATGATATGTGCGTGGCAGTTTTAGAAAATGCTCAAAATGCAGGGCTATGCGAAACGTCAGGTAAGATTGTTTATACATTTTCGTCGTTAGATTTTATTTTAAGTAGATTCTTATTTTTAATATTTAATTCAATATTTATTTTATAAGGTATTGTACGCTCTCGACCACTGCAACGAGGTGAAATAGAGATCGCCCCGGATATTATAGTACCAGATATACCCGCTGGCCCCTCAAACGAGCTTCGTCATCAATCGAATATGCTAAACGATGAATATGACGATATGTGCGTGGCAGTTTTAGAAAATGCTCAAAATGCAGGGCTATGCGATGCGCCAGGTAAGATTTTTTTTTTTATACTTTATCGTCGCTAGATTTTATTTTATTTTATTTTAAGTAGATTCTTATATGACTTCGGTGGGTGGCAAACGCGTTTCCAGCGCCAACACAGTGTCGGCTGTTAAGGCGAAAAAGGCTCGTATGGAACTGGTTACATCCCCGGGTCTGGTTGAGATTTCATCGTCAGGAAAACGTAAAATAGTGTGGTATTTCTCGAAAAATCTGAATAATATTCGAAATTATCCCGACTTTCTCCGTTCTCTCGAACCGGCTCTGTCAGACAAGCTAAAAACTCACGTGCAGAGACATCCAATAAAATTTAGCTTGAAGCTCGAGGCTACGTATAACCGTCCAAATGTACCCAATTCATCCGAAAATCGAGCGTTTACAACATCGGCCAAAGAAATTTTTATAGGCACACAAATCGAAACAATAGTCGAAGAAGCTTTCATAAATTTATTAGCTGAGGAAGAGGCCTATGTTTCTCGTGGTAGCGGGTTTACGTTACAGTCTATCGATGGTTTGCTACTAGCCATTTATAAGTATGCACCGATATCTGGTTCGTCGTATATAGAATTACCGAAATCCATCATAGATAAAAGGGCAATAATAAATCCTCAAAATATAGACCAACAGTGCTTTAAATGGGCTGTATTGGCAAAGCACGTTACTGGACAGAATAAATGTCGTGTCAATGAAAATTATATGAAGCATGAGGACAAATATATTTTTAACGGAATTTCATTCCCGACACCGCTGTCAGATATTACCAAGTTCGAAAAAAATAATCAGAACGTTTCTGTAAATGTTTACGGACTTGAAAAGCGATTACAGCCACCGAAAAAGTATCCTTCATATGAGGTTTTCCCACTCAAAGTCGTAGATGATGAAAAACGGGATCACTTTGACTTATTATTAGTGACGGATGGCGATAATACACATTATACTTACATCTCAAATTTTTCGAGATTACTCCGTTCACAAAAAACTAGTCATGCAGGTCAAGTTATATTCTGTAAACGTTGCTTTACATCGTTCGACAGACAGAACTTAAAACATAAACTAAGCGGACAGGCAGCTCTAGAACACCACAGATTAATATGCGGTCCGCATAAACCCATACTACCAAAAATGCCTGAAGAGGGGGCAGTTCTTGAATTTAAAGCATGGCAAAACGCACAAAGACAACCTATTGTTATATATGCCGATTTCGAGGCTCTACTTGTAAAGACCAATGAGGAAAAGGGGGGTAATACAACAATAATACAAAAACACCGTCCGATGAGTTACGGATTTATAGTTAAGGCGGCTGAAAACGTACCATCAGAGCTGCTAAAACAATTCAATATACCAACCGAACCCGTAATTTACCATGGTAGTGAGGACAAGCAAGACGTCGCAAAACATTTCATGGAGAGTGTTGTTGATGTGTGTGAAAAAATTGAAAAATTGTTAGCGACGAACGTACCCTTGATTATGACTGATGAAGATACGACTAGACACGCATCTTGTTTTAAATGCAATTTATGCAAATGCGATGTTAATAACTACACCCGTATTCGAGATCATGACCACCTGACCGGGAAGTTTAGGCAGACTTTATGCAATAGGTGTAATTTAAGTCTTAAACAACCGAAATACGTACCAGTTTTCCTTCATAATCTTTCTAATTACGATGCAAATTTTATAGTAACAGAACTAGGTTACGATTCGCATAGAATAAAAGTAATTCCAAACAGCGAGGAAAAATTTGTTACTTTTTCAAAATACATAAGTAATGATTTTACGATCAGATTCGTGGATACATTTAGATTTATGGCTACAAGCTTATCAACTCTCGCCTCCAATCTGATAACACCAAACTTGGAAAAATTCCGCATAACCGCAAAACATTTTTCCAATAATGATCTACCGCTTGTCACCCGTAAGGGTGTATATCCTTATGACTTCACTGATGATTGGGCTAAGCTTGAACAAACAACTTTACCCAAAAAAGAGGACTTTTATAGTACCTTAACAGAAGAACACATAAAAGATACTGAATATCAGTTTGCGGAAGACGTATGGAGTCATTTCAATTGTCGAACGTTGGGCGAGTATTCAGATCTATACTTGAAAATTGACGTCTTGCTTCTGGCGGATGTATTCGAAAATTTCCGGGATTTATGTTTGAACACATACAATTTGGATCCAGCATATTATTTTACAGCACCAGCGTTTTCTTTCGATGCAATGTTGAAATACACTGCGATAAAACTGGAATTGCTGTCGGATTATGAAATGCTATTAATGATTGAAAATGGTTAGTATATTGGAAATTATTTTTATTCCAACGATAATACATAATACGATAACACTTTTATAGGTATTCGAGGAGGACTTACACAGGCCAGCATGCGGTATGCAAAACCTAACAATGAAAGAACACCTGATTATAACCCAGCAGACCCAAAATCCTGGCTTGTTTATCAGGATTGTAAGTTAATCTATATATTATTATTATCATTATAAAGCTAATTATATACTTTTAAAACCCTAGGCAATAATCTTTACGGTTGGGCAATGTCGCAGTACATGCCCTACGGGGGCTTCAAGTGGGTTAATCCGTCTCTTAACGGATTGGCTGATTTGAACGCAACTTCCCCTATAGGACGGATCTATGAAGTCGACATAACTTATCCAAAAGAACTTCACGATAAACACAACGACTTGCCATTTTTACCGCAAAACAGTATACCACCAGACTCAAAAGTGCAGAAACTCATGGCGACATTTAAACCGAAAAAAAATTATGTGGTTCACTATCGCAACCTCCAGCAAGCCTTGAACAATGGTCTCATAGTTGAAAAGGTGAATATTATATAATGATATTTTATCATAGAATTACTAACATTTATGTTATAGGTGCATAGAGTTGTTCAATTTAAACAATCACCATGGCTCGCACCATACATTGCTTTGAATACCGAGATGCGAAAAAAGGCAAAGAATGAATTTGAGAAGGATTTCTTTAAATTACTAAACAACGCTGTATTCGGTAAAAAAAAAATAATTATGATTCTTTTAATTATTGTCTTTATCATATGATTTTCATGCAGGAAAAACCATGGAAAATGTTCGTAAACGTATGGAAATGAAACTTGTTTCGTGTGACAGGCGTTTACAGAAATTAATAAACAAATCGACATTTAAATACTGCACTACGTATTCTGAAAACCTAAATGCCGTAACATTGGAAAATAAGATCATCAATTTTTGCAAACCTATTTATATTGGTAATTTTCCTATTAATAATATATATATGAAGGTATTGAGATTTTTAATGCACATAGGTCTTGCGGTTCTTGACATAAGCAAGAGTTTAATATATGATTATCATTATAATGTGATGCAAAAACACTATGGGGATAAAATCGATCTCATGTATACAGATACAGGTATTATTTTTATTTATTATTTATTATTAGTTCGATATATACATAATAATAATTTTCATAATTTATAGATTCATTGGTATATTATATCCAAACCGATGATTTCTACGAAGACCTCAAGAATAATAACAACTTATTCAACCGAATGGATACTTCCAACCTACCGGAAGACCATCCATGTTTTATTTCGGAGAGAAAAAAAATACCGGGTCTGTTTTCCGATGAAACGGATGGGCTCGTAATGACAGAGTTTTGCGCGCTGCGAGCAAAGTCATATGCTTACATTTTGGATGGTAGGGAAAAGATCAGAGCCAAGGGAATTAGAAGGCATGTTGTAAAGAATCATATGACATTTAACGATCATAAAAAGTGTTTGTTTGGTGAAGAGGAGATGGATGTTAAGAGAGAAAATGTATCCATCCGCTCTTTCAAACATCAACTGATGACAATAAAATCAAACAAATTAACGTTTAATAACTTTGATGATAAAAGAGTTATCCTAGAAGATAAAATCCATACCTTGGCTCACGGACATTACTCTCTAAAGTAAATTTAAAATAAATTTAAAATAAATTAATATTAATATTTATAATTTTATAGTGAAGATGAACCCGAGGATGATTGGCCTGAATTAGATGAAGAAGGACATAACTGGAAGGAGGAAGAGAAAGGCTTAATGAGAGACCTTCTACACTGCATAACCTAACCTGTATATAGTTTTGTGATATATTGTAAATATTACTCTTGAGATATATTTCTATTACAACACGTACAATATTGAAATAATTATAAATACCATGTATATTTAATTTGTAAATACCATATATTTTGTAAATACCATATATATATACATACATACATATATATTTTGCTATATTTTCTCATATTTTTAATTTATAAATATCATGTATATATTTTGTAAATACCATTTATATATATTTTGTTATATTTTTAATTTATACATATCATGTATATATATTTTGTAAATACCATGTATATTTTGTAATCTATATATATTTTTAATCTATAAAGGTTACCAATGTAAAATAAAAAAAAAAAACAATGTTAAAATATTATCATGTTTTATTTTTAAGAATTCTTTATAAACCATTTTCTTATAGCAAAAACTTTATAAAATGTACATTGTTTAGGATTAAATTCCATATGAAAAATACAACAAGGTAGAGTTTCGTCATCGCATATTTGTTCCAAACGAGGGCAGCCTAAATCTTCAATGTTGATGAGTGTGACGTGTGGTATATACTCCATGAGAACTTGTTTTTTCTGATCGCCCTTGACGTATATGCATCCGAACTTTAATGAATTCAATATTCTACTTAGTTCTTCATACTCGATATCACCATAATCCAAGGATAGTTGATGATAGTTACGTTCCAGCCACTTGTTGGTTTTACGACTCTTGTTGTCTTGCTTTAGTTTTGAATTTTTAAAAATCCAATGTTGGGTCGCCCATGTTTCTGTGTCTACAATAGACATTTCTTTAATCATGTATTTATTGTCCATTCCAAGGACGCATTGCACGTCCAAGATGGCCGAAGACATTATGGTTTATTTTTCAACGTGTCTGTATTTTCTTTGATATATTGTAATGATGCTTCAGATTTTTTTATGTAATCTATTATTATTAATTGAAGCGTTTCAGTTTGTTCTTGTTGTATATTAACGGATTTTCGATTTTCTTCAAGAAAATGTTCGATTTTATCTAATTTAGACGAAAACGATTTAACAATTTGTTCGAGATTTACTAAAAATTTATTAGTTTCACTAGACTGAGAACTACCGAACACGTTCATGTCTGTAGCTCGACTGACGCTATTTTTTAACGTCACGCATATTTATCCAACTATTGTGTGTATTATCAAACCCTAACCATTTTACAAACATTTGATCACCCTTCTTACGTATAATTTTTTCAATTAAATAATCGTTTGGGTGATTGGTTTTTTGAATTTCCTCAGAGTAGAAACAGCCTGCAATAGGTTTTCCAGTATAATCTTGTAGTTGATAAGTAGTGGGGGAAGTTTTATTTATTTTGATAACTTTAAATATTTCTGTAGACCACCTTGGTAAATATCCTTTTGTAAATACCCCTTTATATGTACTTATACGAACATTATCACCAATGTTAAATTTAATTTTTCCATTAATAATTTGACGTTGCTTTATTTTCACTGAAGAAGGATTTGCATCAGCTTGTATAGGTGTCATACCTATTGTTCTATGTTTTGAATTATTGTATTCGTTAATCAATGAAGGTAAAATAGAAACCCATTCGTGTGATCCTTGTGCAGTAAACTCTCTAAACATTTTTTCTTTCAATGTGCGGTTGAAACGTTCGATAATGCATGCTTTCGTTGTACTATATGTAGAATATTTGTGTATATTATGTTTATTCATTAACGCGTTGAATGTTGTATTGTAAAATTCTTTACCATTATCGAGCTGCAATAGTTTTGGTGCGCGTTTATGCAGTATTTTAGACATTGCATTCGAAACTTCTTTAGCACTTTTAGACTTTAATGGTGTCGCCCAAGCAAATTTTGTAAAACAATCCATGACGCATAAAATATATTTATAACCTTTATTTTTTTTCGAGTATGGGATCATTTCGACTAAGTCGGTCTGCCATAGATCGTTTTTACCATAAACATTAACTCTACGCCTCGTATAATTTTTTCTTGCTGGTTTGTGTAGTTCGAGAGCGATATCACGTTTAGACATTTGGAATTCGTTTTATCAAACCCGCTTCATACAATTCTTCGTAAATTGAAAGTATTTCGTTGGAAAGCCCTGTATTACCAGCAGCTTGAGAAGCTAAAAGTAGTCGTAAACGTTCGACTAACTCATTAGGATCATTCCAGTATACTAAACTTTTATTTTGTAATTTCACAGATAACCCACTACCAGACGGGAACAATGGTTTGATTATGTCGATGAATTTATTTCCACCTTTTTTAATTTTTTTCTCGTCTGATGTCAAATGTGCCGATGTTTGGATTAATATGCGTTTATATGTGTTTAGATCGTCTGCGGTATAGATTTTCGGAGTTTTCGAAATTATTAAACTAACAAGTCCTTGTGTCAACGGGTATGATGTATCTTCAATAATTAATGTATTTCCGTTAAGTTTAATTTCTTTTTTACCCAAATATGCGTCTCCGTTTGATTGCAATTTTGGACCATATGTTTTGTCTATGCTGTACGAATCAAACAACTCGTTTATTTTAAAAACTCTGGAATTTTCTGTATTATTTTTTTCGATATTTTGAACAGTTATCTCCTGAGGTTGCGATGTCGACTTTTGAATCTCGTTTAATGGATTGATAATTGGTTTTAATGTTTCTGTTACTATTGAATGAATATCAGCTTTTCCGTGTTTTAATGCAGTATACTTGCGTTTAATATTTTCTTTGGCTTTGATTAATTCTCCGAGTACTTCGTTGTTAGACGACATATTTGCGAATGAAGTGTTTTCAGTAAAAACATTAGTTTATATAACGACGAACGTATCGAATCCGTGACGATATCGCCCATTGTCGCGTTCACTGTCTTTGTTTATGACGATAAACTCAAATCTCCCTTTACGCCAGCATGAAGTACAAAAATCTTTAAACTCTGGATATGACATATCACCAGAGCAATGTTCCATGTAAACATGTTTTAAATTTGTCTCGTCTTGTTTAAACAGTACAATAAAATTAGCGTTGTCGCGCAAAAGTTGCTTAGGTACTTTTGAATAACTCTGAGCTAAATAGAAAACATCTATTAAATTATGCCGACCTCTGGAAAAGTAAGTTCTTGCAATCTTTTGGTTTTCAGTAATAATATCGTCGAAAATAAACACAGAGTTTGGTAAAGCTTTTTCAGGTTCAATAACATGTTCGTTTTCGTAGAACGTGAATAATTGTATTCCAGCAATGTCTGATAAAATATCACTCAATAATTTATACTTTGGTTGATCCAATGTTTTTGAATATATGTAAACGTTGTGAAATCGTATACCGTTTATGTGTGTTAGTAATGTGTATATTAAATTAGTTTTCCCACAACCTGAAGGTCCCACGATAAGTGATCTTATCGTATTAGGTAGGAGCACCCCATGTCTTTGTTTTTTATACGAAGTAGGTGGGTCCACGTTTTCAACTGTGAGTTGTATATCTTGTTTAAGGAATTTCATTTTTAAATAAATATCTCTGTAATACTGTGAACTTGATCAGTACACGATGTCACTCGCTCGAAGAAGGAACAACAATAAAGGCGCTGGTCTTATCAACACGCTTATAAACAAATTACCAATCGAGCTTCACGTACCTGGTGAGATCATAATAATATGCGTATATTAGTAATAATAATAATAATATTTCTCTGTTTAGGTTATCAATATTGTGGTCCTGGTACAAATTTAAAAAAACGGATAGCTCATGGTGACAAAGGTATAAACCTTCTGGATTCTGCTTGTAGAGACCACGACATTGCGTATGAAAATAGTAATTCTTTCGCAGATCGTAACAAAGCCGATTATATATTAGAGCAGCGAGCCTGGGATAGGTTTAAGGCTAAAGATTCAAATTTAAAAGAAAAAGCTGTAGCTTGGGGCGTGACAACCGCCATGAAAGCAAAACGTAAAATCGGGGCTGGATGTGGGTTTAAAGCAGCCATCAAAGCAGCTAAAAACGCTTTAAAGAAAAATATCGGTGAAAAGAACCTGATGAAGTTAAGTAAAAAATGTCTAACCGTCGCACGAAAAACATTCAAAAAAAGAAAAACTAAAGTTCCAAGGATTATATCAATTCCAAAAAAGGGTGGGGTGTTGCCGCTCATACCGATTTTTGCCGGTTTGTCAGCACTTAGAGCACTGACTGGTGGTGTCGCCAACGTTGTTAAGTTGGCTAATGAATTTAAAAGGAGCACGCCATCGCATTTAGGTGGAGGGTTATATCTCACACCGTATAAAGGCAACTCGTACAAAATCGGGTCTGCTGCTACACCATTTAAAAGTGGTGGGGGTTCAAAACCGAAAAAAAAACTAATATCTACGTTACCCAGAAGAGCACTGTACGATTACGAACTTATAAAAATCGTTCGTTTAATGAAAATACCTCATTTCATCGGTGTATTTACTAGAGACAGGTTACCCGTACGTCGTAAACGAATAGAATCAGCGATTGTTAACTTGGACTCTGAACACGGTACAGGTACTCACTGGGTAGCGTACAAAAAAATAGGAAATCAAGTTCAATATTATGACAGTTTTGGAAATCTACCACCTCCATTAGAAGTACAAAAATATTTTCACGGGTGTAACATCAATTTCAATTATAGCAGAGAACAGAAATATAATACTACAAACTGTGGGCACTTGTGCTTAAAATTTTTATCATGTACACGATAACATTGAACGGGAACTCGAGTGAATTGTCATGTGACATTTTTCCACCGTTGGAAGTAGGAAGCACAGCACAAATATGTCTTTTGAGCTTACAGACAAATAATTCGATACATCGAACCTGGGTGTAATACTATCGGGTTTCGTGATATTCTAAATGAAAATGAAAACGTAATGATACCTACGGCACTTACGAATTGGTTCATTTAGAGGACTATTATTACAAACATGATGCCTGATTTTGTCATTTTTCGAGTTAAAGCAAACAGCAAGACATTAAAGTGCAGTATATCGTGTAGTCATGAAGTGGACTTGGGTGTCGAGAATAGTATAGCGAAATTGCTAGGCTTTCGAAATGTTCTATACACTACTGGTGCCACTCAGAGTCTGAAATATCTGTAACATCATGAAAATAAACTGTATAAAGTAGAGTGCACTTAATTACTGGCTCATTCTGTGACGGAGCACCGAGTCAGACTATGACACGAGCTGTATCCGTCTGTGCCTGCTGGGTATAAAATCGTTGAAGTACCTAGACATCTGGTTTTCTACGGTCTCAACACGAGATCAGTAACCAGAGTAAATATTGTGCTAAAAGACCAAAACGATTGCCTGATAAATTTGCGCAGTGAACCGATAACAGTTCGTTTACAAATAACGCGTGGATATGGCGCTCAAATTTAATATAAAAACCAGTATAATCAAAAAACCTGTCAGTTTACCGCCTGCCGTTAAGAAGTCAACATCTATGTCAAAATCGAAAAAAACTATTTCTAAACTGAAAAAAAACAAGTCCAAGCTCACTAAAAATAATTTAAATTTTCTCCGTTCGTTGCAATGATGGATGACACGTATTTAGACGTCACAGCCGACTATGTCGATGAGTGTAAAATAACGCAAATGAATTATCATTCATTCACTCCGTACTCAAACATGTCTTTATCAAATAACGATGAAATCAGGATAAGTGTTTTGAATATGGACTCGTACACTTTACCGTGCGAAAGCTATATTTACATCGAGGGTAAAGTGATCAAACCTACCGATGCTGTTGGAGACGTACGTTTTTCAAATAATGGATTGGCATTTTTATTCTCTGAAATGCGATATGAAATAAACGGAGTAGAAATACAGAAATTAAAATCACCTGGAGTTTCGTCTTGTTTGAAAGCATACTGTTCGTATACTCCAAACGACTTGAATGCACTAGAAAACGCGGCCTGGGATTCACAAATGGATACTGAAGATAATAAAAATTTTATGTCCAACGATGTATTTACCGGGTGTATACCTCTAAAACATTTATTCGGATTTTGTGAAGACTATAAAAAAATATTACTTAATTGTAATCACCAACTGATTTTAAATCGCGCATCTAGCGATCTTGATGCGATACACGTTGTTGGTGCGGGTGCGACTGCAGCCGTTGATAAAAATAAAAAAATTAAAATTGAACTTACTAAGGTGACTTGGAAGATGCCTATTATCAAAGTCAGTGATAAAGAAAAATTAAGACTGATAAAAGTAATGGATTCACATAGAACACTATCGTGTGCGTTCAGAACTTGGGACCTGTGCGAATATCCGATACTTCCTAGAAATAATTCTCATTCGTGGACGGTAAAGTCTAGTAGCCTGCTAGAAAAACCGAGATTTGTACTGTTTGGGTTACAAACAGATCGAAAAAAAAATATTGAAAACGATGCGGGGCGATTCGATCACTGTCAACTAAAAAACCTTAAGGTCCACTTAAATTCTGAAGTGTATCCGTACGAAGACTTTCGTGCAGATTTTAAAAATAATACAACTAGTATTTTGTATAAGGCCTATACAGACTTTCAAAAATCGTATTATGAGCGAGATTATTGCGAGCCATTATTATCAAAACACATTTTTCAAAACTACGTTCCAATTGTCGTAGTTGATTTATCACATCAAAACGATAATGTGAAGTCGTCGACCATAGATCTACGTATTGAATTTGAAACGGATACAATTATTCCAGAAAAAACTGCAGCATATTGTTTAATACTACATGACCAGATTATAACTTATAACCCGTTTAGTGGCGATGTCAGAAAATTGTAAACCTTGTAATTATTTTTATACCTTGTAAATATTTTATACCTTGTAATTATTTATACCTTGTAAATATTTTGTACCTTATTTTCTAATAAATGAAAAAACTTGTTTTAAGTATCACGCTTGTTTTTTTATTTTACACAAAAATTATTTTACATAAAAATTATTTTACTTCCTACAAGTATTAAAATAATCTTCGTCTAACATCGCGTACTGGTGCTGGGTGTTGGGTGTAAGTTGGTTGAATCGGCGTTGATGTACTTATTGGATTGAAAAAATCCGGACCGTCATTTACATCGAATGGTTGTGGACTTGCGGGTGATTGTGGTAGTTTTCGTTTCAGTTTACGTGACGGCGTGGGGTGAAGAGGGTAAGTTGCTCGATCACATGATGCGGGGGTGGTGAATTGAGACTGTGAATGTACGTCTCGATCGAAAAAATCCGGTCCGTCGTTTACGTCGTTTCCATCGTTTACGTCGGCCGATTGTTGATTAGAAATATCGTCAAGTGGGCCGTCAATATGATCTAGCGGCTGAAAAAAAATTTATAATAAAATAATGTTTTTATAAATATGATTATATAAATTACATATGATGGTCTGACTCTGAGTGTCGCGTATGTAATGGGATCTTCGTGAATGCCGAATATGCTCGGTGGTAACATCGGAGGATCCATTTCTACATTCTGCGACTAAAATAAACTTGTATTAAATATTTAAATAATAATAATTATATGAAGTGTATATTACCTTTGGCTTAGTGTTCGGGTTCGCCTGTGTAGGGTTAATCCCCTTTAAACATTCTCTGATCGCCCTATCATCGTCAGCTGCCTATCAATAATAACATTTAATAACATTTAATATTTAAACATTTTAATTATAAATTACCCTTGACTGTGAATAATCATCTTCATCATAGCACGGAAACATACTCGAGTATGCCCCGGGTTCAATGAATAACTAAAAAAAAAAATAAAAAAATAAAATA